GGAAGCTGTCGTTTGCGGAGCATCTAAATTGCCGTTTCAACGGTCTCGTCATATAGTCGTGGTGGCCCTGACTAGTACTACGTACAAATTGTTGCCGGTCGATTAGTCATACCGTGTTTTGTCTATCATTGTGTCACACTGATGCACTGAGCACTGATATCCGCCCATTACTATGACGTTGTCTGATGTCGATTGTCTACAATTGAATGATAGAACCTTTAAAAAATGTTTGAAGAATCACTGTCAAAGACACTTGATATTTTCACGTAAAATCATGTTTCAATCAGTGGTTCACCTGCAAAATCCGTTCTCAAGGTTTCTTCGACCTCACACCGGTCGTCGTTCTGTACTCGTGTGGGATGCAAAGATGATTTAAAACAGTCAACACTATGTATAAACCTGTAACTACAATCATTATGAAGCGGTCTCCGTCTGTGATGTAACCATGTAGGTGCTATTGTCCCACGCTGACATTTGTAATATAATTTCTACTGCAGCGAACGAAATTGATCACTGACTCATTTATTAACTAATCACCTGCTCAAGACTTGTTGCACAGGTTGTTATAAGCTTCAGCAATGTCGTGTTAAACCGACTTTACGTAGGTTAGAACCATGTAGCATTAACTTGCCAATAAAGATGTGATCTATTTATAAGATACGCTTTATTAGCCAGTAACTGGATACAAAATTAGAAAATTGGTCATGCAGTGTGCCGAGGAGTAATTCTATTTATAAGGGTCGGTCTTCTTCCATTTTGAGCTGAACTCATGTCGCGGACTCGCTGTGAAATTATCCGGCGCCTCGCCGTTTTCTTTTATTGTCGTCTCTTTGGTTTTGCAATTTGTTTTTCATATGACTCACGTACTATGCTCAAAATATATTCGCGCGAGTTACTTATGCCCTTGTTTACTACTGTATTATGGGCAATAAAACGTGTAGCATCATGTAGACTATGGCCCGCCCGAATGAGATTGATAAATTACGAAACACAATATCTATGTTTGTTCAACTAAATGTGTCGGTTTGATTAATGTATTTCGTGTCGGTGGTGTTATGAGAAGGATTTGAATAAAATGGGAGGATATTCGTTCCTATCAATACAGTATTAAATATCTATTAACGTTACCTAATCCCGATGTCGAAGTATCTTTTTACTTTTTCTGAATTCCAATAACGATACCACCGGCAGCGACCATATGAGGTTGTATTGAGTAACGTTCTATAAAAACTTCCCCTCGTAGGTATCACTCCTTATTCATAAAAACTTGACATTTGTAATGCTCCGTAAGCGTCACTCGTCACAGTCATATTCCTTCCAATAAAAAGTAAAGACAAACTTGGGACCGTGCTCTCAACATGTCCATAAGAATGTTTAAGGATAAAAGTTTTAAGTTATTCGTCGCTCTGATAAAATTACGGACAAAAAATAAATTATGCTTTATCTCTTTGAAATCCCTGGGATCGTGTATTTTATTACAACGTCATAATCGGATTGAGACGGTCTTCTATTTTAATATCAAGAAAAAATCTCCAAAGTGTGGACAATGGTTGCTGTAGGTCGCCGTTGTTAATCGGATTAGCGGCAACCAGCTGATATAATATCACATTATTTACAAAAAGCAAATATTACGTAAGATTACTTTTTTCATTTGGTTGAATATTACAGAGCTCGTAAACATAAGGATGATATATATTTTGTTTGTTTATAGGGACGGTAAACCAAACCCCTGTTTTAAAGTTTCAAAAAAAGACAATTAAATAAGCAAGAAACACTGCAGACGCAGCTTGTTTCATCGTAAACAATAGAACTAACAAATCACAATGCACCACATAAAACAGAAATAAATAAATAATTTTAATATCATGTAGCAACAAAAGTAAATCAAGTGCATACTAAATGTCGTTCGATTGTAAACCTTTAAGGCATAGATGCGGTTACTGCGCCCGTACATTATCACTTTTCTTGGTACGTAGTCAATAATGTGTCCCAATTTCAACAGTTCAGCACTTTTATAGCATGTATTATAGTTAATCCCATTGTTTGTATAAGCTCGCGGAGAAATTTCTTAGAACATGTCCGCGGTGTATGTTTCTGTGTGGTCTTTGAGCGCCAGCGTGTCGTCGTCTGCCATATAAGGACGCACAAGTTCAAGGAGGTGAAAGGTTACCTAGCTCTGTCTGATCTGTTCTGTTACAATTCTCACGCTCAGTGCTTTTCACTATTTCAGTTTATTAAGCTTCTTGTTGGCAGTTGATCTGAATTGGGGCTCTTATTAAACTAGTCTTTATTTATTTATTTACTTATGGAGCCAAATTTGCCAAAAATAAGAAATAGATAAAAAAGTTTTACACATTTTCACCCTGCTCGATAAAACCTAATATTAACTTATATGTAGATTTTTAAACAAGAAAAATAATAAACGTTATGCTACAGCAAGCTATAAGCAACACTAACAGACATTCAATGCGACTATTTCAGTGCCAGTCGAATCGCAATAAGTTAATTAGTAAATGAATGCAATAGCCGGCATCCGTCCGTCAGGCAATGAGAAACTACGCCCCTACCACGGTCCCCTGTCATCCAAACTCGCCCCAAACGCGATACGGGTCTTAAGTGTTTTAGTTAACCGTGGTAGGCGCCCGTCGACCTCCATCGGACTCATGGCCAATTTGACCGGCAATCTCACGGGCATTTTCATTGTCTCCGATGTTTTGCAAAGTAACTGCAAAATCTGGATTGTAATATAAAATGCAATTAAATCGTTAACAAACCGATACAAGCTACATTAATTAACTATCTAACTCCTTCATTTTATTTGTGTAAAGTGAATTTTCTCACAGCTCAGTGGTTTGTTGCAGCGTCTAAATTGATTATTCATTTTGTTTCATGCGGCACTAATGATAAGGTTGAATGTAGGATTATTGAAGTACACAGCTTATGTTAAATGAAATATATTCATAATCTCCGTGACTTCCGCTGCATTAATCAGAAGCGGATTAGGTGAGTACTTGGTACTGACTTAATCCCTTTTGAAAAATGACAGATACGTTCAATGCAAGGTAGAACGTATCGTCTGAGACGAAAAACCAGCATCCGCGACGCGAATAGCCACCACCAACACATAAAATATAGTAAACACGGTTAATACAACATTATGCGTTTTTTCGCGGTGATACGCCTCATTGCTAAATATAATAGACACAGTTTCGATTATACAGCCGCCACAGGAAAAGTTTTCTTGGCACAGCGCCGCTATTTGGGTATTATCAAAACAACGGCCAAGTAAATGCTTTCTCCGGGGCGCGTTCCACGAAATTAGGGAAACTTTAACACATTCCTATTAATTACTCCTCGAACAGATAATAAAAACGAACTTTTAATGTTTGAGAATTTCCGCTTTATTATATGATTGATATTACAAATGATGACTTTATTTGCTTACTAGAAACTTTACGTTTGAATAAGAAGTGTAAATAAAATTAATTTTAGAAATGTATGAAGCATAGCCAAGATTCCTTACTTTTAAGCAATAAATTGCGAGAATTAAGTAATGCAGTGTGTCCGCCCACTGGCGGCGTCTGCCCGAGACAAATGCAATGAAGCCATACCTTTGGTTCTCGAATACTTTTCTATTCTAAATTTGGTGAGACGTCCCTGTGATCAAAGTTAGTCTTATAGCAATTTGTCTATGTCGTAAAGACGAGACAGTGAGTATTGTACTCGCATGACTGTGTAATTTAAACGACTGATCTACGACTACCCATATAACACCCACGAAGCTCGGTTATGGAGAAACATAACCAAGCTATCATTGAAACTTTATTTCGTAGTTCAAATTCCCATCGCTACACCTATTGTTATGAGTCAAGATTCAGTTCTATACTAGGAACTAGTGAATCAATGTTCTATAGGTCTGTTAAATCTCTAAGTTCAAATTAACATAACATGGATACAAAACAATTGAATGGCCAGTCATAGCCGCTTCTCGGCAATGTATCACTGATGAGTCAGTAGGTACTTGCGTCAGTCTCCGGCCTCACACGGGAGTTCGCAGCCTTGTGCACATTATAACGTGTGACGATTATTGACCCCGTTACTTGATCATATCATATTGATTACTAAAGGAAACACCCATTATGCCTTGTTACCTTGATTGAAAATCGTAACTAATACATTATAAGTAGATTGCAAAGTAAAGCAGCGTGTTACGCAGTTTTCCTTATAGCTTGGATGCACATCAACATTCCCTAGAAGGCATGTTGTCCAGCCAGCTTGCCCACCCACGCCCCTCTCCGCTCGATAAACAACCTTTACCACTACATTTTAGTATTCCAATACCTTGCTCGTGACGGCCTAATGTGGCGCCATGGGGCGATTGTTTTTATAGTTATTAGGTAAAAGCCGTTTTATAGAAACTTGTAGTTCTGATCGGTTTGTTTTGACAGAACAATGAACGAGGTACTCCTTCTGAACAGATAACTGCTATTAAATATTCTGGTCAAATTGTACGCATATTAACTTTGCAGACACTTAAATGATCATAAATAAACAAACACTCTAGCTAAAGCTGATTGTGAATATTTAAATGAAATGAAACATCACTAGAAATTGAAAACATTAAACACATTCTCAGATTTCGCTCATAACGAAGTAAGTCATGAAGTACCCTTGATTAGAATCTCTCCCCATCCATGGTAATCAAACAACATAATGAGGGGTCGGTCGTTTGAAATAAGTATAGACAGCAGTTTTCATTGACCCATTTTCGCATAGGTACTGGAAGTAAGTAGAGCGTTAACCACCAAACATTAGAACAAGAATTCGCAAAGAAGGTCAACTAATAGCAGTCTTCTTTTTAGAGCCAGTCTGTTTGTAACAGTTCTTTAGAAAAGATTAGAAGAAAAAAATTAGAACCTTGATGACCTTAACTCTCTTCCAAAATGATGTAACAATCTGTTTAAAACCTTTAAAGCTAATAATTAATTTGTGTATTCCAGGGCCACCGCCACGGCTGGGGCTGAAGGCGGCGAGCCCCGGGGTGGCAGGCGCCGACGAGGACTGCAACAGCAACACGAGCCTCACCGGGAGCCAGCATTCGCACGATGACATCGATGCACACTGCGACAACTCCGGGTACCTCTGGTTCCTCGACTATAAGTGAGTATACTACATAAAATTCCCCATCATCATTATCATAGTAATTTCTTAAAGTGCAAGAAAACCCTTCTTTTTTAATGAAAACAGTAGGTACTTGTCAATCATAGTTTGGTCACCAAAAGTTATAGCAAAGCAAGCCGTTGCCGATCACTTAGGGATTTAATTTAATTTTAGAAATAATGTTTTGTCTTTATCGTTCACATTCGATTCAGTCAACGTCGATGCAGTCAAAAAACAGAATAGATAAATGATTTTTTCTCATTGTAACTAAATTCAAAACTTACAAAGTTTATAATAATTGACTTCTTATCTGATCACGAATATTTCTTCTTATATCCATAATATGTAAGAGAAAATTACTCGTTGAAGTCCGACTATTGTGTTGGACTTGACATTATTATATGGAATGTGTCCTCAATAATCAAAACAGAGGTGTATGAGTACGATTTAAAAATACTCTAAAAAAGAAAAAATAAACCAAAAAATGTTAATTGTATTTTACTTACCGTTTTAACCCTTTCACAGAATTCACAGTCATGTGTTACACATGTGGCATAACCGTCGCTTAGCTATTTCATTACATATGCTTACCGTCCAGTATTCTGTAACTAGTTAAAAATCAAATAGAAAGATGACTAAATACAATGTAAAAAAAATATTGTTTAATCTTTGATACCGAAAGCCTAAATCTACAATTCTTTGAAAACTTAATGAGTGATTGTTTTAGCATCGGTAATTTTAAATGACTTGATTTTAAAGGAATTTTGTTATTAGATCGTATTTCCTATTTATTTTATTTATAAATATATATAATCTCGGTAGCCATCAAAACAGAATTTAAATAAAAGTATTAATTTAATTCAAATCGATTAATTCGATTCATTAACCACAAGCCCAGTAACTGGGCTGGGTGTGGAGTTACCGTCGGCACTAACCCGTAGCCGCTTTCAACCAAAACAAGATTTATTAATTAAAGTTTACAATAGGTATTGATTTTAGATATATGTTCCTAGTCCATTGTTGTAAGTCTCACACTCCCTACAGTCTAGACCACCCAAAGTGGGAGAAGACACAGGATGATTATCCCACCACGTAACAACAATTTTAATTGAAATCTACACTCAATCAGACTGACATGATGACCAACCATATAAACCTTGTTGTCACAAAATAACTATAATTACACGATAATTCTACCATGAGTATAAGGTGTCCTACCTATGTCCTAATCACCTTACAACATTTCTAATAAAATGTTTTCTATATTCCAGCCCAATTTTTCGAGACGGTTCCTGCCACCACACCTCAGTGCTGTCATCCGTGTCTGCTTCTTACAAGGGCATAAGCGATTTGACATCTCGATTCGAATTCACGTCCCGATACAACGACATAGCACGGGACCTCGACGCAAACCTTGCTGAGGCTGATATGGAGAGTTTTAGAACTGAAGACATACACGCACTGCTGATGACCGCCAACTTGCCTCACGACACCATCATTGATGATAGAACGCATGATGTGAGTATCAATTTTAGTCAACTGGCTATAATAGAAATACTTATTTTGTTGATGGTAGGAAAATACTAAATAGTTTAGATACTTTTAGCCGCAATTATTTTAGTCTACCTATGGAGATATAAATATATTATTATAACAGGATAAACAAAGAAAAAAAATGCACTTAAAACTGTATTACAATTAACCAGAAATTCCAATATTAAAACAAAATGTAGACTACTTACCTATATGTTTCCGACTCTTAGAATATCAATTTCATTAAAATCTCATTCATTATGTTATAATTTATATAATGTTTGTTAAGATATTAAAAGTATACGATAATAACCCATGTACTCATTAACATAATATGAAGCAATTTATGACATTGATGGTCCAACCAGCTACCTTATTAATATTCCCGACGACGAAGCTATCTATATTGCTAACCCATTAGGTTGTGCAAAGGATAAGTGGTACCTTGGTAAACTTAGTACATAGAAAATTGAGAAACGTTGCAAAATTACATATATTTAATACCGAGCTAAATGCCTTATCCGAAGATTATCCATAATTTCTTATTACGTTGATCAGATGCTGTTATAATCAATAACGTGCCCCTTGTTGTGCCGACGACGACCTTGTCCAGTCGATAAATATTTTATCCGCCCTTTTAAACGTTATAAGTGTTCGTTCTGGGTTAACGCTTGTTGATTACAGTTTTGTGATACCTAAATACGTAATCTTTTAGAAATAGATTACAAAAAAGAACTGTACGATGAAATTGCGCTCAAATGTATCAATAATAACTATGGATTCAATATTAATTTTAAAAACATTTGTAAGATTTTTCACTCCTCTAAACAATGAACAAATTCAGTTAAAATTTCTAAAAGTGTATTTTATTCAGAAAACATAATAAGCCGATATTTTGACTGCATAAATATATTTGCAAGAAACTCTGAGAATATTTGCAAGAAATTCAATTCTGTATAGCGTTTCAAGACTTGACTATTCCCCATAAGTCAACTAGATACTAGTTAGTTACCTATACTCACTATCTTACCTATAATCTCATAAAGCATTTGCAAACGGAAACAATATCCTGTAGTTTCGTCAAGTACAATTTGCGTAAGAAGTTCCTGCAAAATTAACGACTAAATATGAAAGCAGCAATAAACTTTCTTAAATGAACCTGACTAAGCACTTTATAAGAACAGAGATCAAGGTATTTTGCGTAATTTTAAAGACCAAGGATTTTAGTACGCAGTTAACATAATCTTTGGCCGCAAAATGAACAAAAATGGCTCTCATTACGATTTTGAAAGCAGCTGTGAATTCATTAAGTTGCCGTGTTGCAATGATAAAGTTATAAAAGGGCATGTTTTGAGAGGCGAATATAAAATAACTTTTTATTATTATGATAAGTTTAATAATGTTACGCAGTCTTTCGCATCAGGTGTACAATCACAGGTGCATGATGTATTTACTTGCCCTCAAGCAGTTATATGAAATGATGATACAATCTCAGCTTGCAGGTGATGTCATGTTTGCCAAATAATCCAAACAAATATTATAAATGCGAAAGTAACTCTGTCTGTCTGTCTTTTCTTCACGCCTAAACTACTGAAGGTATTTCTGTGATATTTTACAGACATAGTTTGGAACTCCAGAAAAGACATAGGATAGTTTTTATACCAACAATCTGCAGAAAGTCACATACAACGAAGACCCGGGCAAAAGCTAGCAATCTTAAGTAAATTAGTTGAATCAAATCTAAGACATACCGTAAAAGGAATTCAATGAATCGTTGATAATGGCGATTGAACACATTGAACGAATATAACCGAAAATGACGAAATTTTAACAAGGAAACCAAAAGCAAAAATTTTTAAGGAAGATTCAAAAAATCAATTTGCAATAGCTGGAAGCGTTTTAAGGCCGTTTAACTCTAGCGTGTATTTACGGAAGACGGAAGCTATGACGATGAAATAGTCCATATACGTATGTTCATGAAACGTATACTACATTTATGTATGTATGTAATGCAGTCCTTATTACTTGCAACATGACTGTTGCATTAAGAATATACTCTTTCTTACATCAAATCTTCAATCCGATTCACGCCTTACTATGATTAAAAATAAAATCTTGAAGTTTATTTCAGTCTTGTGCAATAGTCTTTGTCTACCTTTCATCTTCATAATCTGACTATTATAATATCTCAGGTGTCGGTGACGTTGTTTTTCTTAATCCTGTAATTAATTACTGTTTTATTTATTTATGTAAAACTTTTATTTCTATGCATTCGTATTGATTATATTTATTTTATGTATGTTTATTTTTTCAGTCTCTTTACTTTTATTTCTATGTGGATGATGTATTATGGTGTCTTGCAGAGTAACCCCCGTGGCGAGATGTTCGCGAGCATCTCTAGCTCTCTCATGGAAAGGTTTCGGTTCGACAGCAGTGTCAGTGCCGACAGTAGTTTCCAGGTTCGCTCCACATTGCTGTTCAATGTTTCATTTTCATGCATCTTCTATAGAATTCAAATTTAGGAAGGTTACCATCTCATTTTACCACCTTCGCTAAGCACTTAAACATTTTATTCTTTTAGCTCAGTATCACTGCCAAGAATTACAGCCCTATCTATGTTACAAAGCTCGAATCTTCTAGCACAACGCCATCTAGTGAACAGCTCAAAACCAACTTAAACAAATTACAATGAGATGGCGCTAGATGTCGCTTCTATGCTCTAGCTGTTTATTATTTTCAATATTCGATAGATTTTTAGTCTGCATCAGATTTTATTTATTTAGGCTTTATGATTACTTTCTTACATAGAAGTGGCAATCTTATAATTTTGTTTAATCTCTGATCTAATTATTTTATTGGAGTTAAACGTTTTAAGATAATTAAAAGAGTTTTTTTGTAGGCCAGTCATTCAGAGTTATGCACCATAAAATAATGTAATTCATAACGATTTTGCAAACAACGTCCAGTTTATAAGCAATGTTGGTATACAGACACATTCAAAGATACGATTTCTATAACCATTACATCTGGCATACGCTGTGCTTTTTAGGTCATCCAGTAGATTTTTTTAATTGCCCTGTAATTATAAGTCGTGCCAGGCAATTAACAGTTATGAATCCCTGGAGTACACACACAATGATAACAATAGTTAGAAAGCCCAGACGCTTGGCTAGCATTCACAACTAGTATTCCTAATAGTGCGAAGTGCGTTGGTCCCACGGGATGTGCCAGTAAATAGTAAAGACGGAATAAGATCGACTTCACAGTGTGGGTGACTCAAACTCACACACTGATTCTTTTACACTAACTACTGCCTGAATTGCGTCAATCAGTTTAACCACGCTCGTTATTCCCCCAGTCATAGTGTTTCCCTCTTCAATTGTGTTTGTGTGTGTGAGCTATATTTAATCATCCTTATGTGTGGCCGTGTTCATACGGCAACCATGTGTGTGTTGCCAATGAAGTCTATCCTCCAAGCCAGATGCTCTCAAACTATTCATAGCGTACGCACCGTACGAACGTAGTACTTCCTATTCATTTTGAAATATACTAATTCATAAGGGCCCGTGAATACGAGGAAACTTTGTGTTCTGTTGTACTTCAAGCCTTGAAAACTTACAAAATAAAACTTGTTAATCAATAATTACTATTCAGCTAATGAGCATCTGTTGCCCCCATTAATTTGTTTCAGCGCGTGCTGCGCTTTGATAATAGTAACGTCCAAAGCTCCGAGTGGACAGCACGCGCGCTTCATTCATGATAAAGTTTGAGAATCCCATGTAGTGGCTAATATTAAAATTAATATTCCCGCTGCCCCAGTCGTGCCCAGGGCTCTCGGGAGTGCTGTACTGTGCAGTTTCTTGAAATGAATTCGATCACATGTTGCTTTACTAATAATTGTGATAGTTCATGGAACCTAATAGATAATTGTGTTTGCGATAGATAACGCATTACAGCGGACGTTGTGGACTTTCATTATTTCGATAGTGTGTGCGAAGTGTGATGGTGTGACAGTTTGATACAAGTACATGGTGAATGATTTAGTGGTGTAGTGATCCCGTTCTATTAGAGACAGTGGGAATAGAAGAGGCCGTTGTTAAAAATGGGTGTGACGGAGTATGACTGGGATTCTTACAATGGATTCTATTCAGTAAGTGATTGGCTATATGAGTTTATCTTTTTATTAAGATTCTGAAAAATAGAATACTTAAGACGTTCTGTATTGTATAACATTATACTGCGTCAAAATACACAGTTGAAGATTACTTCTTTTGAAGCATAAAACAAAGTCTTATTGCAATTAATCAATACATACCTACTTAATACAAACATACTCTGTAACGACACCATTCAAAACATTATCATACTGATAAGTTACATCATCGCTTTCTTTATTATTTTATTACTCATCTTTAACAATAAACATTTCTACTCACACAATAACTGTTATTCAACCTTCATTTCTTCAGTCGTACTTTATTTTATTCTTATCTAACTACCCTCATAACGACCGTCAATAGCATAGCAATAATTAAATACTCAATAACAATCAATATAATATAATAATGTGAAACAAATTCATTGTTATGAGTGGTTGTTTGATTTGTGACCTCATTTGTAGCAGGAAAAGGAATTAAATTGATGATAACGCTCGCTCTGGCGGCCATGTTGTTTGTCATTTTAAACGTTCTGACTGTACCAGGACCGCAGATGCGTAGGGCGTGTCATGGAAAAAAGAATTGCCAGATTCCAAACACATTCTGATTTCGTAACAAGATCTAATTTTTAAAAACGATTGTGTAATTCTATATTACTTAGGCACTTGCATTATTACACACATATCTTCTTTAGGATCCCAATAGCTACTAACTAGTTAATTATACATATAGATCTACTCAAAAGTGAATACTTACTTTATTTGATAAGGTATTATCATTCAAAACATCATGGTAAATTCTCACGGATATAAGCGTATGTGAATAAGGATAATTATTAACATTCAACATGTGTATATACAAAAACATATCTTCATAGATACAACATTTGTTCTACAGAAAACGTATCTAAATATTTAGCTTAATTAGGCTAAACGATATAATAACAAAACAAACAACACATTTTTGTATATATAATTAGAATAGGTAATGATAATGTTATTAATCAATGGCTCACTTAGATAATAACAATAACCGAGTTAGATAAATAGCAAGCCAAAATACATCAGTTACGCTGCTAGAGTTTATTTGATAGTGGACATTGTACCTGTAAGTAACTGAAGCCCATTATTTTTAGCCGCGACTTGCATCCGCGTCAGTTATAACTACACGTAAATGTTTATGTTCCAACTAACACGCGTTACAGTTTCGAAATCTTCTGAGAACATTCACATGCTGTAGTGTGTTCACAACATGTTGCTTTCAATCGATTTAAATCGTCCCGTGCCACGTTTGTTTTATTGTTATACTGTATCTTGTCTGTTTATGGATGCAATTCCTCCATTTAACATACAGGAAATGTTAATAAACATCCAGAAAATAGTTCTTTTTGAGGTTGTTCAATATGAAATATTTAATGTTTGCATTCTATAGCCGGTCCTGAAGTTGCTTCTTATTTCTAATTAAAAACCATTTAAAGTTAGTAATGCGTTTTATAGCAATATTATTATTCCACTAGGGTGAAGAATCCGTCGGTTCGATCAACACAATGTCGATATGCAAGTCAGAACTTCTGTTCTCCCCCGTAAAAGAGGGTATACATGGTGTCCACTTCAGCGTTGATAGTTTGGACTGCGAGCTGCCCTCTGAGCAGGATCTTATTCTCACCTGCCAAGCCAACAAGGACAACTACACCATCGCCTTTGAGGGCAGTCTCACCACATACTCTGAGGACAGCGAGTGCGTTGAACCGGCCGTCAATCAAAAACATGGTAAGCAACACCCTGATTCCCTTCCTAGAACTACTGATGCATACTTCAATAATGGTATAATGTTTACCATGACGCTAATTTACACACCTGAGCTGAATCATTGCCGTGTAATTACTCATAATAACTTGCCAGCTCATACAGTCAATTATTTTCAGACAAATTGGGCGAGGAAGAAACCTTAATTTTAGATAACGATGAAAGAACGCGCAGGAATTTAGAATTATTAGAGAGATGTAAGAAATTAACTAATAAGCTAACGACGTCTATGGCTAGAAGCGATTTAGGATTAACTACATGGAGTAAGCTTAAGAAACAAACAAATCAGTCACCCTTAAGGAGGTAATAAAAACAATTTCATTATATGTTTATTATGTAGAAAGTGTTTTGTTGTTAACTTGTTTGATATTTAATTATGAATCTGATTGTAGGCACCCCTCTGGTAATAACAACGAAGGTTCAAATGAAGCGACTGATGTGACAGACGACAACATGAGCAATTCAGTCATCAAAAGCCAAAGTTTGCCAAATCTGTATAGGCGAAAACTCATGAATAGTTCCATAAATTCAGCTGCTCTGAGTAATTCAACGGTATGTACTGGATGTCATTGCCAAGAAAATCATTGGCATCTAATTTCTTGCTTATTCTGCTAACGATATGTTCTAATTTCAGGTCGATTCTTTCACCGTGAATCAAAGACTAATGGGTACTCCGATGTGCATGAAAGTGTACGATGTATCACAACACCGATCACAAGGGAGTCAACATTCAGAACCTATGAGCACATCTTCAACTGACAATCAAACCTCTTCTGATAAAAGTCAACCAAAACAAACGTTTAGTCTAGTAAAGTTATTTATGAAACAAAAAAGTATGAGCAATGACGGTATCGTAAGCATGGATCAGATGGATAGATCAGAGTGCTGGCCGTCGAGCTCAGGAGGAGAAAGTGGAGAATCAATGGGCGAACAAAAATTAGTCGACTCCAAAACTGCAATTTCTGAGCGCCCTCAGATTGATTTACCAAGTACTCCTGTGGAAGAAGTTTCATCAGTGGTCTATGAAGAGATACAAACAGTAAATCCTTTCAATAACAGAGTATACGATGAAGTTTTAATTGAAGAAGAAGAAACAGGTGACGGAGCTAAATTGAGTGACAGTGAGAGTAATCTTTATGCTACAGTTAACAAACCACATATTAAGAGAACTAATTTAAACATTGTGAATAGTCCTTCTAGGATGAGAACGAACAGAAAGTCGTGTTCTTCTCAGTCTTCCGCCACTAGTGTAAGCATTTCAAGCTGCTCTGAGTCTGACGGTACGCAAATAACTAAAATGAATAGGCTGTTACAACGTGAGCAATGTGATCACAAATCGACGTCAACTCACCTTGAAGCTGATACCATAGATAAGAGTATACAAACTTCCAGCATGCAATTATCTAATATGTCGCAAAGAGAGATATTCAAGGTCGTTGAACCTTCGTTTTTAGAAAAATTAAAAGAAGGAGATTGTGAGAAACCCGTGTTTGTTTTATATCCCAGTTATACTTTGCCAGACATCAGTTTCCTGAACGGGAGGCCAAACATTTATTTGAATCCCTTAAAAGTAAACGTTTCTCCCAGATCGAGTGAAAGCAAGAAAAACAGACTACAAGTAAAAGGAAAAAGACCGTTTTCATGCAATGATCTTGAAATGTTAAAGAAGAAGGGCCTCGGTCATATAAAAGACTGGGATTCGCTAAACTTTTTACTTCCAATGGAATGTAAGCAACTGCTCTCTGAAGTCCCTGAACTTATGCAACACATAAAAGAAAAAGAAGGAGTGCAAAAATGTGGAGACAAATATTGTAGTGCTTCACCAGCATCAAGATCGAAAAACCGACCAACAAGTTGTGACTGTAACAATTTAGTGGGAAATACAACCACAGTATCGTCAAGTTCAAGCACAGCTACTCAACCTTCTTCGGGATACCGTGGTTCATCCACAATGCTGACCGATTCTTCAGCACAAAATAGTCCTGCCCCAGCAGGGGCTTTCAATCCATTGTTTGTGTACCGCTATGATAGTGCAACAAGCTCAGAAGCAAGTGGTGTTAACAACGACGGTCAGAGAATTAATCCCAGTATTCCAAAACGTTCACTCTCGTTAGCAGATCAAAGTCGTATTCCCAAACAAGGTGAATTAGCGCCACCAAGGCCGCCGTTGCCAAAGAGCATATTACGTAAGTCAATGGATAAGACTCGGAAATCTAGCACACATACTAAACGATATAGTATGTTCGAAATGGACGATCTTATTCAAGATCCAGTTGTATGCATGACAGCAGCAACGGAACACAAAACTAAAAGGAGATCGTTGCAAGAACCGTACTATCTCCAGAATCAAACGATGGATTATAGGAAGAACAACGATATAGCTGCGAAAAGATTATCACAACAATTCCTTGATGCCGCGGAGAAAGACGCAGATTACAACGAATATTATCCAGATGAAGGTGTTGGTACGGAGAGTAGCCTAGAATCTGGAAAATCGAATGAATTAAAGTTTCATAGGCCACACACTCCACCATTACCTAAACCAAGAACAAAGCAAATGGAGTATACTGAATTTCCACCCCCTGGTGCACTAATCAGTAGTGCAGATTTGCAGCAACTTGAAGAGTTCTTGAAACACAGTGGATTTAACTGTCTAAATATGGATGAGTGGGATCAGAATCAAGTCCAAAAGGTAAGGAACCAGGTGTCCAAATTTCTTCAGATGAAGCGATCTCAGGAGGAGAATCAAAGGTCCACGGAATCAAGTGGCAGTAGTTGTAACAGTAAAAAATCAGTGAGTTTTGCGCAGAAGTCTGAGGCCACGAAGGCCGAGAGCCAGTCTCAATTAAAACCTATGGAAGATGTAAAGGGGGTCAGTCTAACCACGCCACCTAACTCTCCAAATATTTCCGCTGTGATAGCGCAGAGGCTTTATCAGGTAACGTTTCATTTGCTAATGCTACTTCTGCTCACATGCGTCATTGCCCGTTAATTTCTGTGAGTACCTTCGGTTGTTAATTTGCTGTTATTTTGCCATTTATGATATGTTCTCAGTAATTTTTTGATTATTTTCAAAATTATTATTTGCTTGTATGGATGTGCTATTATTTTATGCTATAGTGTTTTCGTTGCACAAACATTTTCCTTAGCAAGTTGAACACGTTACCTGCGCTTACAACTCATTAACCACTACGAAATTAATTTTAAACTTGTTATTATTACTACTTGCATGCCAAATATTGGATAAGATTAAATAATTTCAGGGAAAGAATTTAGCTGAAATTCCTATCTGTGAAGAAGCTGAAGTAAGCCCTGATGAATTTGGAAGTCCTCTCCATCATGACGCGAGAGGGAAATATGATGTGATTGACGTATCACAGAAAAGAGGTACGAATTGAATTTAAAAATAGTGGGATATTTAACTTTATTATAATCAATTTATTAACCTGCCATTTGATTTCAGCCTTAGTTTCAAACGTTACCGATGCTGTAGAAATGCTTATCCAACATTTCTCGTCCGCTACGGATCAGGCTGAGTTAGCTTTCTTAGGAGACTCTAAAGAATCTCCCGTCTGTGCAAAAATAGCCTTAAATGCACTATGTCCAGCTTTGTACGCAATATTCAGGGACGGCCTTAAAGAGAACATCGAAACTTCTTTTGGAGCCGTGAATAATTCCGTTTGGCAAATGGTAGAAGCAACCGCAAGACAAGGTAATTAAATAGTTGCTTATAAACTCTTAACTTCTCACTTTACCTGTGTATCCAAAAATAATGTAAACGTTTTTGTTTAAGGACCAATCACAAAATCTCTAAATGAATTGGTACTAAGAATTAACAGTGAAGACGCAGTCATCGAGGGCTTGGTCAAATTTAACGCCTTCATTCTTGGTTTGCTCAAGTAAGTTTAATAAATGTAAATATGTCTTCTTATATCAAAGCGTTGCTATTTCTAATGAAATGTTTCGTCTTTTACAGTGCACAATCAGTAGACGCTTGGGTATCATACATCCGTACACGAGAGTCTATCCTTGCCAAACACTACAGTCCTGATTCTTTGATCCTTGCCGGTTGTGTGGGAGAACCGCGATGCCGTGCTCTTCTAGACACATTGCTGGCCAGCCTGGAACCATTAAAACTCTTACCATTCTCCTTGGACCTCATGTTTGAAATGCGTGAGCTGCATAGAAGTTTCAAGAAGATCGAAAGCGACATGCGTGCCGCCAGTCGGGTAAGTTTGAACACCATCATAAAATAACATCTAATATCTAAAAGCCAACACTGAATGCTATTTTCCCATGAAATATACGTAATCAATATTCCGTGTCTTTCGTGTTCTGAAACCACTATCGCATACTATCAAACAGCCGCCTGCCGGAGCAACATCGCTTTATTTGCATTTTATTGTTTACTGCATGTGCTTAAATCACAGTTCACGGCGTACGAACGCGATATTTTAGCATTTACTTTCGTGCACAGCTTACATAAAATGCAAATAAACGTTTTGCCGAGCGGTCGAAACCGATCGATGACCTTGTCAAGGACTTTAACTTTACTAAACTAACTTTGGATGGCATGATGCATGATGCTAAACAACATTTGGTGTATTTAACAGCCCACTTCGATTAACACTCCACCACTAACCCTGAACCAGCGGAATTTGCTGAAGCTGGTGCGCTCGATGCAGTCGAGCGGTCTCTCCAGCGACGACTGTCAGACCAGTGTCATAATGAGACATAAAGAGCCCAAAAACAAAGAACCGTCAACACCCGACTTGCTGAATGATTCGGCAAACGTAAAGACCACAGTTGAAAAGAATAGACCACGCTCATGCGTTAATCCGACATTGATCGGCTATGATATTTGTCCGAACAATAGCAGGATAGAGATAGAAAGTAACCGCAGATGGTCCGGAGTGCACTTGGGCTCTAAATTAATGCAGGCGTTCGATAGGCTCGTGTTTGATGACAGTGACGATTACACTGATAGCCTAGAAAATAATAAGCCTCCCACCGCTAAACCCTCCAGCAATGAAGTGAAGGTAACTCGGCGGTGCTTTGTGTGGACATTATCTGAATGTTTTGCGCTTAGACAATGTTTTGTTGCGGTCTCCGATGTTATTAATTTGCCGGCTGAGTTGGTACCTACCCCGCTTTCTGCTTCTAATATTTATTTTGTGTGCTTACTTTTGTTTTATCCTCACGTATCGTCACATTCAATGGTTTTCTGGTGCATTTATGCCGTCATTTTCTACGTAAATTGTCCAAACTTCTATGTTTTCATTTAAAATCTTTTTTCTTAGATTTTGTGGTAAATATTGATCCTGGTCAACCTAATTGTTAAATGCGCCGATTATAACTCATATTTTTGTATGATATAGCTGGAGTGCAGCGGTGAGGAGCATTGGCGGCCAGGTTCTGCCAGTAGCGGTGCAAGTGGCAACACTGGCAATGGTAGCGGCAACTCGGGTGGCAAGTTCCGTCGTCTGCAACTCAAGTGGGAAATGCTCAGTAATGCTGAAAGTCCCGTTACGCCCTCAGGTAGGTTCCTTTTTTGCGACTGTTTAGAAGTATCTATATATAGTTCTATATAAAGCCGTTCTGTCAGTTTTTAAATTTGTATCAATTGTTGAAAAGCTTTAATTAAATATAGGTGTATATCATTTTCATTTTTGGTTCGAACTATTCTGCCTCCTTACCATTAATACATAGATTTACTAGTCAGTAAATACACAAACAGTATTCCAAAGGCAGACACAACGTTGCGCCGGATGTATGGAACAATCGTATATGTTATCAACTATCGAGGCTACATTTGTTGAATTAAATAAACTGAATGAACCATTTAGTTAAATGTAACAAAATTAAGAGAACTCATAAACTGACTAAATAATTGCCGTAATGTATACATCAGAATATGTATGTAGTAAGCAGATTGGCAGTACAGCAACGCAAAAACAAGTTTATATCGTTCGTGAGAACAAGGAACAGCTGTGTAAACCTTGTATTGGGGACTGATGTCATGCTTACATTAATGCCTTTATAGTTACCTAATATATATGCATACATATACAAAATATTATATCTTAATTTCACGAAGTGGTAAGGGAAAATTCAAACAATATATGGGATTTATTAATTTAGACTCTCTCTAAATGCCGAAGATCTCATTATATATTTTTCAGTTCTGGCTTAGACTTTGTATTAAGTGGAATAAAAGAAGGGATAAAAGGAGGGAGGACCTTCGCTTTATAATAGCGTTTAGCAGTATTTCATAGCTAACTGTTTGACTGTGTCGTTGACGCGGTGACTGAGCAACTATGTAGCTGTATTGTACAATAACTCTTTGTGTGGTCCACAAATATATAATACTATCGTTCTTATCTTGGTTGTGATGTGTATTTCAAGACGTATGTAGACTTCTACTATGCAGGAAAAAAATCTATGTGTTAGAGGTGGGTTGTTGTCGTTGACGCTTTATAAAGTTTTATCAATAAAATATTGTTGAATTCAGGAGAGACGTCACCAGCAGCGGCTCGTAGTTCCAAGATCCCCAGGCCTGTATCCTCGCCTGTACGGCCGGTAGCACCAACGTTGCAGTCGCCGGCCAAGACAACCCATCGGTAAGTACCTATTATGTTTTTTAATTCCATTCCTAAGCGGCTATCGGCTATCTATTTGGCTTAATGGATATTTTTTGAATACTTCAAATATCACAAATACTACCTAGTTAATTTCCAAAAATTTAAATATTTACCAAAAAAAAAATTACCAATCTGCTTATAAAATGACCAATAGTCTAAAAACTGATCTCTTTTCAAACGCTTTATTCTTAAGCCTTAAGAAAAATTTTTATTTAAATTTCGAAACAAGGCTTGGACTCTTTCAACCTTGTTATAATTCCTATTACCAAACAAATCAAACGTTAACACAAAAATATTGTCGCTAATTAATAAGTCAATTCTCAATGACGGACCAATTGTCTAGGCTCTAGAGCTAAGTATGTGGTCGTTGTGCCAATTCCCCCAAGACATTATTACTTTGTGCCAAATATGGCCAAACGGGAACTAGGAGCTTCATCAATGTGCATTATGTATTTTATAACTGGTTCATATTTTTGTATTTTGTTAATAATTTAACTGTGAGGGGTGTTGTAGAGATTATTAAATTGGGATCCATGTTTTTAAAGAACAAATAAGTACCTAGACAAATTCAAATTGTCTTTTGTAGTTTAGGCATAGTTATGTTGAAAGAAAATTGCGTTTATTCGGCATTTCCAGTAGACTTTCATTTTTGTTTAATTCATCAAACCCCAAACAAACACCGGCGTTACACTCACCTATATCTTCTATTGTGTCTCCAATTACAACATTTGAAAGGGTAAACATTATTTTATTGTTTCCGTTTTACCATTAAACTACAATAATGGTATTTGCAGGGGAATACCAGTACCAGTGCGCAAAGGAACCTCTCCTACCACCACCACACCCAGAGCCTCAACCGCACGGGCTGGAACGGCCAACAAGAAACCACCACAAGCCGCAAACAGGTAAAATTACTTACTGTGAATTAGAATTAACATTAATACCTATCCACCATAATGTTATTATTAGATATTATTTTCCTCTTCATGACTAAAGTGCAAAATTTTATTAAAATCGGTATTTTATTGTCACACCATTTATATGGATTGGTTAAAACCGGGACTTTATTAAAATAAAAGAAATTTCAAACGTGGAATCCACGCAGTAACATTAAAAAATAGTCTAAGAATAAAAACAATCCACGAAGAAAATTTTGTCCGCTTATAAAATGTAGGTAATGTCGAAATAGCTGCTATATTTTATTTTTATTGAGCACAAAATGATATTTATGCTACACTTATTTCAAGGTTGAATGGGATATCACTGGTGGCGGAATTATTTATTTTTATCTTCGTACAGAAACACTTTAAAATATATTTCTTCTTTGTATTATGCTTTTATATAAATTATGCATAGCACCGCAATATATTTAGCTTATAATGCACATCTTCAGAGTAATACCCGAGACGACGGCGAAACGACCCGAGGTGAAGCCGAGAGTACAAAATGTAGCTGTTTGTAACACTACCAATGTTAAAAGAACACCGTATGTACTTTATCAATGGGAATCAATTATTAATAATATCGTCAACACAGACAGTTTTATACTAACAGCATGTGCATGTATATGGGTTAAAGGAAAATTGCACATTATTTTGTGAAATAAAGTCAACTGAGATGTAAGACATGTTCAGGTCAACGTTTTGCCACTGTTATTCAAATCATCAGAAATTCCCAAAAATAATGTTGCTGTTGTTTTTTTTTATCTATCCTCTTTTTTGGCATGCATCGAGACATTTTCACTAACAGTTTTCTGGAAACAGTGCCAGATAGAAGTCAGTGTCCTTTCATATTTTAAAATAGTATTCAAATCGATGCCTAATAGTCATACGCCAAAAAGAGCATCGTCAGCTTCCGTTATAAACAAAACTAGACTAAGTACTATTTCTATTATGACGGTTTTTATACACTGTTTAAAACTAAAGAAAATAATCATACGCCAAATATGGAATCTTGTTTTGCTAATGCGAGGACCGTTTGATGTAAGTAATTGATGTAATAACAGGACGTCTCGAGTGGACGGTGCGGGTCACAGCGGCGCAGCCCCGAGGCCATCATCACTACCGTACGGTCGCACGCCTCCCCCCGCCGCGCCACGACGAGCCGCTTCCTCATCAGCGGCACGAGCACACCACGCCACCACCCAGCAGAAAAACAAGTACGTACTCATTGGACATTTTAATTTAGAACTTCAATACTTCTCATTTTATCAGCACAATTGATTGTTCTTGTTCAAAAATTGTCCTCCTGTTTTCACAACAGCCTAAAAACTAAATGTCTATCTTTTTCACTTGAAATTCTTAAACTAAAATTTCAGATACGTGAGAACACTGTGGCATCGGCTACCGTCAGACTCCGGGCATCTCGCGTTCAACGAAGGAGAACGTCTTCGATTGATATTGGAGGTAGATGATCAGTACCTGCTGTGTTGTCGAGGTGAACAGAAAGGGCTAGTACCGCGGGATGCCGTGCTCTTAGAGGATTTCTGATATTGGCAGCCATAGCATGACTGGCAGCCATGTTGGCGCCCGTTACGTTTGAACGGCAAACGTTAGATTCGGTGAAAATCGCTTTCCGTTTGTATTTTCCATTGTTTTAAGATCTTTATAATGAATTTGTTCGAATCCATCTCGTCTAAAGTCATCATTCATGTTTCCAAGCAATGAAGAATATAAACGAGAAAAGTTTGAGAATATGTGCAATAGGTTTCGGAGTGAAGAATTGTTATGGAACTATTACTTCGTTTCGTCTGAAAATGTGTGAACTCTTGTGTTGTGTAGTTTGATTCGGTATGTGAAAATGAATGTGATCATGAACTATGCTGTTCAAAGACAATGTGAATATTCTTGTAATGTTATTCTATGTTTCATACTCTACTCCACTCGATTGGAGCGCTAATATTATGTCTTAATCATTATTTATAATTATTTAATTTCGATATTGTTACTCAGCAATATTCATACTTCGCAGAATCTTAACATCATTAAATATCTCTCACATTTCTAATTATTGTAGTAAAATCTAGTCTTACGTTATAAGGCACGACAAGGTCTTGGACTGTATATAAATTTATTTTAAGTAACACAAATTGTGGGAATATTTACTGGGAATGGCTGAGCGTGATGAAGACTCTTAATGACGCATTGACAGTAAATATTTATCTCAATAATATGTGATATATAGAATACTATTTACTTTTATGGTAGGAACAAAATCTCATACCTTAAGGGCAAACTCCATTGTATCTTAAAATCATTTAATTCATGACTGCCAAGGGAAACACGCTCCAAAGTACTTCGTTGTTTAGATAAATTACTTAAATGTGAATTTGATGTCTAAAATTACCCTTGATATAAACGGTACTTGTATAGTATACTAATTACGACCTATTGGTATTAGTGACTTAACATGGTAGGTATAAGTTTAAAGGAAATTTTATAGTACTTCGGTGACTAAGTATTGTTTTGTGAATGTTTCACTAAATTTTAATAATCGGGTACGGTGTATCTGGAAAATATTGACAAACATTGACAGAAAAGCTAGCCACAGATTGTGTAACTTCTGGCTACACTAACTGCATGCAGCCTAGTCCGACATACACCTTCCTTAGCGGTCTGTGGTAAACGGTTCATTAACTTGTGGTGTAGGTGGAATAACTGGTGTACATTATTAACTGCATGGCCCTTACCGACACTGCCTTCCCTAAGCCGGCCTACACTCTCAATCAAACCCCAACTGACAGCTCATACTACGGTGTTGGTGTATAACTACCTCGTACATCTAACTGCATGCGCCTCTCCACTACACACCTCCCAAATACCAGCACAATATTCTTGTAATATCACTTTTTAATTCTGTACGTACCTACCGTACCTGACTATGTACATTACTAGCGATATTAAATCAATTATGATATCGATATTGATATTAAAGATGGATTCGTCATCTCAATGTCTGCTTAACAGTCACGAATATTATTGTGATACAATGGTCATATCACTGCTATTATGATGCGGAAAGAAACGATATTTTTGGTATGTATTGTATTTTATTGCTCAAGTTGGAAGCGCAACATTATCGGATGATATGATTGATATTAATATTCGAGACGTAATACTCTAATATTTATACCTATTATAAATTTCAGTATTCGTTATTGGTGTAAAGTAACTGTACATAATATTAACTATGGAGTTATTCTTAGTAGTGATTTTAGAGGTCAAAATTTGTAAGAAAACGTTTTGAATGCACGATACAGTTCCTCTCGTAGTCCGTCGTGCTATCGAGTCACAGCATTGGTGAACATGTAGTCGATATACTCGTAGTGAGCTAAATTATTGTAACTTGCGTGTAACCGAGGAGTGTTTCTCGAGGCAGTCGTGATGATTGACTCTTGCCAACTACGTTCAGTGAACAAGTGTGAGGCTCGTCGCCGCGATAATCTCATCTAGATGCGGACGTAAGTTGACATAAATTAGAACTGTACAATAGAATTAATCTATACAATAATTAGGATAAAATGTTATCTAAATTATAGTTGAATTATTTAGACGATCGTAACTTTGAACGTTTGTAAAATACACATTTTCATTACAGTGTTAGGGTAATTTGCGCTTTGTGACTGAATGATGTGTTGTGGCCTTTGTATGTATTAAAGTTATATAGTGTTACTGTGTCGTGTGTGTGCGCTTGTTGCATCAGTCGAGGTATTCATTGTATCGTCTTAACGTTAATAGCATGGGGAATGCTTCCACAAATTATTTATTATAGTAATCGAAACTCCTAAATAGCCGTTAAAGTATTAGTCGAACAAACATGCCTTAAAGTAATCAAAGTAATAACTCTTCGGAGGAGGTAGTGGTTGTTCGCTTTGCGACAGCTTCAACAAGTAATCGCTTCGCAGTTAGTATCTTGCAGTACCATAGGAGTTTGTTAGTCGTAAGTTTTTATCAACAGTTTGTATTATTGAATGATGTTGAACTGGTTTTTTATAAAATGACAATCCTGCGCGTTCGTTTTAAGGTATTGTTAGATACATGTGGTGAGTCAGTTGTCCTTATGGGTACAAAAGGTTAAGTTATTCTACTATTTTTCGTGAGTAAGATTTTTATTTATAATTTTTACGATTGGGATCAATAAGTTGAATTTTGTGTTGAAACTTTATTTTCTTAATAAAAGAGTAAAAATAAAAAGAGGCTTTCGTTACTTTACGAAACGTCAACGAACGACTGAGAAATTATTCCGAATATTATAATTAAGTTTATTTCGAAAAAATATTAATACTAATATTTAATTAAAAGATGTATGTATTATTATTATCAATTGTTTTCTGGCGTGACATTATCTCATTCAACGTATGTATTTGTTTAAATATATTTTTATTTGTGTTAAGTGCCATAATTTAATGAATTAACAATTGATAAATATTATTATAATGCATAACCATGTACACCAATTAAACAATATATAAAAGATATCGTCTTTTCATTCACCTAAAGTAACATGCCCCTTAAATTTATTTTTCTTTCGATGGAAAATTTTACATGCCTTTATAAATCATTCTCATTTGGATTCGATATCCAATGAATAATAAATTAAATCATTACTAGGGCGGCAAGTCATGCGTAAGTTTGACGTTCTCAAATAAAGATACAACTTTATTAAATTTAAAATCGATAATGACAGTCGAAAAATCTGCGTAAACTAGAATGATAGCCAGCATATAGATGGTACTTAGGATATTATGACAAGGATAGCTTTATCTCATTAGATAGATGTATATTCTTAATAACAAAACTGATGAAACTTAAAACCGTTCAAAGAATAAAAATCTATACTTCTTGTAATATTACTTATAGGTCTAAAAAGTTTGTTTGCTTTAACCCTATAAGCTCAGGAATTGATTCATCATCAAACCCTTATCTAGAAAGACCATTAATTCACTATTAAATCCATATATCGAGAAAGGCTATAAAACATCACGCTGGTTTCGAAGAGAGTGAAACCATGCGCCACTAGTTATTCTATACTAGCTACTCTCCCGCTGCTCGCCTTCATTTGATCGTAGCGTGATGTTTTAGCCTATAGCACTCAGGAACATTGTAGCTATCTATCAGTAAAAGAATTTTGGCAATCCGACCAGTGGTTCCAAAGATTACCCCCTACATGCAAACTTATAAATTTTACCTCTTTATAAGATACCCAGCACTCAGGAACATTGTCTATCAGTAAAAGAATTTTGGCAATCCGACCAGCGGTTCCAAAGATTACATTAAAACTTACTACCTCTTCATAATATTAGTATAAATGATTTGGAAATGATAAATGAAACACAGTAAATAAGGTGTATAATTTAATCAACACAAATAAACTCGGATATACATATAAGTAACGTCTAAAGCTGTTCTACCTGTATCATGGAACGACTGTGTCGAATACCCTACTTGTGTGGTCGTGAAACTACATTTACTTAACACTATAATCATTTGACATCGATTAAGCCTACTTATGTAAGAAAAATCCAACGCATAGAGATGAAATATTTTTAAAAAATCTTTTATTTTATGGAATAAGTCGGCAAGCGAGCAGACGTATTACCTGATAGTAAGCAATCGGTGCCGCCGCCCATGGACACCCGCAACACCAAAGGAGTTACGAGTGTGTTGCCCGTCTTTGGGGGATAAGGGTTGAGGATATTTAACGATTGGAAAGGGATAGGGGAAGGGCAGGGATTGGGCTTCCGTTATCCTCACTCATACGGCGAAACACAACGGTGTGGTTGTATCACGCCGGTTTTCTATGAGGCCGTGGTATCACTCCGGTCGAACCGACCCATTCGTGCCGAAGCTTGGCTGTCCCACATTTTCTGTGTCCCACAAATCTATTTTCTTTGTCATCAGGAGCAATGGATATAGTTTATGTAATGATCCCATCCGACAGCAGAGTTTTCATGATGTCTAGGCACTTAATGCGCAACTTGGTACGACTTTGATTCCTGCACGGAGCGACTCTGCGTGATCCACAGACCAGTTCATTGAGGTCTAGGTGTGGTGTGTATGTAAACTTGTAAGTATATTAAATTTGTAAACACATCCACGAAATAAGGACATATTCTAGTGTGTGATTGGTAACGTTTCTTTAAGTAAATAAGGTTATTTCAAACTCCATATGTTTAGGAGTTGGCAGTTCAAGGTTCGGTAGGCGACCTCTAATTTTCAACTTCAGACCTGGTCGACTGCACTTTACATAGGTACCTACACACAAATTGACAAATTCCATGACGATACAAGAATTGTGTGCCGTAAGAAGGTACCTAATGCCGATTCTTAGATATTTTATTAAACAGTTCGGTACATAAAAACATGTTGGAATGATAGTGTTCTGTTTTTGCTGTAATTTGATAAAAAAAAACGTCGTGGGGAAACTTAGAATTTAGATTGCAAATCGCCAGTCTTCTTTAAGCAATTGTGCCGATTAGTATTTATTCCTTCTCCTTATCACAAGAAAACTAGTCAGCATATAAAACAATAATAATTCGATGAGGATGATGCGAGTTGGTTCCTTATTGCATAAGTAGACCTAATTGTAAACAATGAAGCTAATCGTTACCACTGAAGGCGATTTATAGACTACCTTAACACATTTTTATTACTTTTTTTTTATATTTTGTGCACGCTCGTGCAATACAATAATTTGTGCGCTTTTTATATTTACCAATGAAATTTAAAATTATTAATTGCATATGTTCAACCCATCTTTGTTTTTTATACCCTTGAGAGCATAATACATTCTTTACAGGCTTCAGCCCAACTGCAAAGGCTATTTTTATAAAATCGTAATAAGTACTCTATCGTACGGGTATTAGAAATTGAGATTCCTAATTCGGTAGATACGATTGGCCTCACATTCTGACATTATAAAAAAAAATAATAAGTACAAGTTATAAATCCAAGACAGATTTGAGTACTTAAATTAAAATGATGGCATTGAAACTTAAAAATATAAAATACCTATTCCCATCTTTGTCAAACTCTTAAAATTAACAAATGCATAAAAGTGACAGCGACACGTCTCCGAAGCACGCGCTAGATTATTCTCGACCAAAGACTAACATTTAGAAGTCAAACCATGATTGACTTTTCTACATTTAGACAACACAGAGAGCCTAGGGCTACATGATGAGGGTTCCTGCGTCACTAGAGGCGCCAGTGTCGCGTATAGTCTTTAATCCTTACACACAATTGTGAAGTCCTGATTTCATCTATAATCACGATGCTTGCAAAAGTACCGAAATATCGGCAACTTATTATGCAATTTTAAGTTTCTTGTGAAAACAGTAAGACATTTTTCAAATAACTTTGGCAGCTAATAAGTCTTAACGCCTCACTAGCGGCCTCTGGTGAGCTATCGAATAACCTCAATTCTATCAATTGTCTACACATCAATATATGGAGAAGGCTGGACGTTGAGTGAGGGAGGTTCGCCTAGAGAGGGCGGAGCGTGGTGGCTCGCGGGCACTCATGGGCCTAGCTACAGAAGTTCGTCGATTCCTCTCGTTGTTGCGTTGGACGAGGTCTTCTTCCATGTTTGGGATCCGACGACGAGGTGAGAGGGCTCGCGGCGTGCGAGGAGTCCTCGGCGCCCGAGCTGACAGGCACCGGGACTTGGGACGGTCTTCTTCAGTCCACTCGTGGACGGACATGTAATATTGATCCTGTATAAACAGAGGGCGTTACTAATATTTCCTTAAAACGACTCCTTCAGTTTTTTTAATATAAAGGATACTTCTTTACGTGACTTCAAAGAATTAGCTTTTGTTAATAATGACGATATTGGGACTTATTTTTTAAGCCTTAATTAGATGTTTGCTTTTGAATTTTTCCTTAGCGTTGAATTAGCACTGAGCTATATTCGGATAGGTGTGAACGTCGGATGACTCATGTACATTAAGCTTTTGCTTTACTAGTACTTACTAAACAAAACATTCCAGTTATGTAAAGCAAACATTTATGTGAACAACAGAAATGTTTCTTAAGACATAGATACTATTTTTTTCAACCAAATAAGTTTTCTATATCCAACTCTATATCTATAGTGAAGCGATTAAGAAGACAATAATATAGTACACGACTAAGTTTGAATTTCTCACACAAATAATATAGTATGTATGTTAATCTAAATATTACTTTATCTAAAATTAGTATAAAACAAAAAGTGAGAACTTACCAGAAAATTCCAGAACATTACTCTGCCCCTGATCTATAGGCAGTTGAAAGTGCAAGTGAAATAATGGCAACAGTAGACTACAATACGGTTAAATCTAAATGTCTCGTGGTCTGTGAACTACTGAACAAAATAAAACGAACATATATAGTGTTAAACTGTATTAAACGATTACCTAATAGGTATACAATACGTCTTTTGAGTGCTGGGCTCAAGTTATTTTTCGTTAACGCAATCGAAATGTCATAGCGATTGGCCTTCTGATTGGTTGATTGAATTGGAACAGCCCAATCAGAGCGCTGAACGTGATAAACGTGTCGATCGCATCAACGTAAAACAAACTCGCACTGGACACTCTTGTCATCATAAAACATCGTATGTCTCAAAACTTCGAGTTAAATAGCTGTCTACATGTACAGTAAGTATCTATTAGTTTAATTAGAACTTATCTAGACAATTCACCATAAAAAGCTTGCATGAAAATCATCCGATCAATTATTACTTTCAAATTATGAGGCCAAATTCCAAAGAACTGTTCGAATCGCACAAAAAATGCAAAATACCTATCTTATTATAAAACTGACAATGCAAGAAAGTTTTGTGACTGAAGCTTCAAACATTAATACACGCTATCTAAACCTAATCATCTCTTATAGTCATAGTTACATATAAAAACATTATATAATAATCTGGTCAGTCAATCTCGAGCCCATACCTGTTCTCGTCACAGCAGTGCCTGGTATCTAATGTTCTCCAGCGACAATATCATACAAACTGTTTGGTGGATAACGCGAATGCGATATAAAGCTAATACTTTCTACGCCAGTGTATCACAAAATTATGATGAATGCTGTGCCAAGAACTCCTATCTCCTATCATTACATTCCAAATTATAAAAACATTGTAATATTCAGTGCATATATCTATGAATACGTAGTGGAAACAACAAAACACATTGATAACAAAGCCTATATAGTACTAGGAATAGTATAAATAAATATAATACACATTTAGATAGAAGTATAGCATAATATATGAATATCACTTGATTACCGATACAATATACTAACACACCGTCATGAGAAAATGTACGTAGTGCTGCTAATGAAAAGAATGTCTAAGATGTGCAATGTTGAGAATAGATTTCTTCAAGCACATTCTAATGAAACCATGCTTGCTCAAACAATTGCGTGGGTAAAGATTAGGCTACTGGACACCATATTACTGGAGACACCGAAATGAATAATACTACAGTACTATGAATTGGCACTCATGATACTAACATCACTCGGACAATGATGATGTAAACAAAGAATTACATTTGTAAAATTATTCAACTATAAACGCTAATACAACATTCAAATATAAATTACGTATAACAATACAATTTTAATGATCGATACACTTATAACGCACTCAACATATTGTCCGAAAAGATATGCAAGAAATCATTGACATTGATTATGACAAATTTAATAACATCCAATTTGTCTAAACAAACGTACCTTAATAAAGTCACTCAAACCGGGTATCAATTTATCGAACAAAATTAACAAATATAAAAAATGTTATACGATAAGTTTGGACTCTTGATTATAAATATTAGAGTGGTCGCCGAGAAGTCGTATTTTCTCAGTGTAAGCTCTTAACATTGCTGTTGATTCAAATTCTCGTCGGATTTCGGAGGCTGCGATGCCGCTGGCACTGGACTCTACGGTAAAAAGAGAACGCATTAATAAATAATTATTTCTAATTTATTATGTAAAAAGCACGCAAATTAGGTAAAGAACACAAAGGTTAAAAATAAACAAAAGAAAAAACCAAACAAACGAAAACGTGTTAGATGATAGTTATACACGATAGCCAAGTCCCTCACACACTCAAACGCAATGAGTTACCTATTCAATAAAATGTGTATAAATATTCTGGCTGAAACAAAATGAACAAGTGCGATTTAGATGTCCGTCACCGAAAAACGAAATGAAAAAGCGTAAAACGACATAGAACAAAAAAGGCCCACATTTGCGGCTAGAAAGGGCCTCACCTCCTGTCGGGAATGGCCGAGACTGTCTGGCACCGGCGATTGGCCTGACATCTGCTTGATGTATTCTTTGTCATCGAAAATTTTGATGTCACCGCCTCCAGGTTTATGCTTTACGTTATCCATGGAGCCCACTTTACTTTGTGCTTTGAATTCCAATTTTTGATTTTCAATCTGTTTCAAAGAATTTAGTGTGCACAAAATAAAATACATACAATATTTAATATATTATGAAGGTCCCGTAGATACTAATTGGAATTAATATTCTGATTTGTATATTCATGAATGACTGCCCACACCTACTCTTTATTATTGTCAAAGAAATTCAGTATTGAAACTTAAAACTTTGCCAAAAATTGTCGACAGTCAATCAATGTTATATTCAGACAATTGGCAATATGTTACTCCTGTTTCAAAGATAATTATAACCGATGATGAAATTTTTGATTACAATTAATCTTGAAAGACACAACTTTGTGTGACTGATTTAAAAGAGACTTGTATTACTTGTGTTGTTGTTGTTTTCTCAAAAATAAAATTATAAAAAAAGAAAAACCATACTCTGAAAACCCAATGGACCTGTTCAATTAGTTTAACGTTATTTTTATACATAAACAAGCAAAGTCATTCTAATTATTTCTCGTCGACTATAATTCAAATTCAAATTCTTTATTTGCATGTTAAGGTGGGTACAAGGATCTTAAATTAAAATAACAGGCACAGCTTAACTTATAAAATAATATAAAATTACTTAATTTACATTACATTGCATAAAAGAGAAAAAAATAAACAAAATAGTTCATAATTAGATAAATAAAAAAAATAAAAAAAGTTGTTATTGAGTGAGTTAGTAGGTAGGTGTTTGTGTGTATATGAGGTGGGTTTTTACATTAATGTTGGTGTTCTATTTTCCTTCGAAGAATTCTTTGGTTGAGTAGAAACATTTTTGTATTAAGAACTTTTTTAATTTCCTCTCAAATATTATTTCTTTCCTTTCGAAAATTCTGTTTGTAAAAAAAAATTCGCACAGTGAAAACAACGATGTCGGTTACAATTTTCTTCTCATCAATTTAATTGCCAACACTGTGGTCACAGTTACATAAAATCATAAAAAAAATGTTTTTATCTCAAACAATAATAGTTTCTACGGAGCCTTCAAGCATAGTTACATAAATATGTATATCAGTGCGGTTGCTAAGTAATAATATCATAAACATGTGATATACGAACATACACGTATGATTGTGTTTGTTTCATAGTACAATGCATAATCGTTATTGATTTCCATGGCGTGCCTGTCGATGATATTCGTGTAGGTCGTGTGTACAGTAACAATCAGGTATTCGTTCTCTACTTTACATAACATTATCATACTATTATTTTATATAGAATTTTGGCATTCCTAGTGTATGAAATAAAACTTATCAGGTGTAAAGACACTTATTCTACTATCATTCATATTCATCAAACCGGCAAGACATTTTATTTTAGGTTTTATACGAAAAACACTTTTTATATCGAAAGCGTAACACCTAGCGTGAAAAGTACAGCCACAGCCCGTCCTAGAAATAACTTAAGTATTAAAGGTTTCTATCAAGGTAAAATATCTCACGTATGGTACAAAACTTGTACCGCCCAACCAACCTTACTCCATAAAGAGTGGTAGGTAAAATGTTTATGAGATGCTCGCCATCGCGGTAACGCCCACTTAACATACTAAAAAATAACAATGGTATAGTCTCACAATTACGTTTATAGACATTGCATACTTCTGTTGTATAAATATGAAGTAGATTTGTGCATTGACGTCACTGCTTAAAACTTAAACCTGTATAACGAATTTTACATAAAAAATTGTGCAATAAGTGACTGTGTTCACAAAAACTTATATATTGATTATTTTACTCACAGCTCTCGTTCCATCTTTTGCAACTGTAGACTAAAGAAGAACAACATTATTTTCGACATTGTACTTATAAAATACAATTCTGACCTGACTTTGATCGATCTATTTTACAATTAGTGCCTCTATTTTACTTAATGTGAACTGGTCTAACAGATTTGCTCAACAATGATACTGCCTGTGTCTTCTTCTTTACGTCTAAGTGCTTATTCAAATTTTTAAGCTCTACGCGATTGATATCTTTACCAGCTGTGCTGACAAACTAGGTTAAGGAATACTCACTGGACGATGTAAGACAAAACGTTGCATATAACCGCATACGTATAACCTATTTAATTCGTTTTCTTTTAAACTTTATAAGTATGGCTCTATTATCTTACCTTCACTGCACCACCACCAGGCTTATGAGTGATGTTAACTGTCGAAGCTACTTTTGGTTTTGCTTTTTCTTTGAAATCCAGTTTGACAGTTTCAATCTTCTTGTCACCACCACCTGGTTTGTAAGCAGTGTTCTGGAGTGATCCAACCTTCGATTTCGCATTCCATTCTAATTTCGTGGATACGATCTGGAAAACAGAAATCGTTCATAAGCTGATGTCAATTACGAAATTTTTCGTGTTGTGTAAAATAGTTTTATTACCTTCTTAACTCCACCACTTGGAGTATAAGCCTCATTTTTAGCAGCAATTTTAGGCGTTACGTTACCGAACTCTAATTTCCTGTTTTCAATCTTAACTTTTCCACCGCCAGGCTTGTACGTCGCATTATCTAATGAGCCAATTTTCGATTTCACAGCTTTAATGTTAGGCGACGGAGCATTGCCAACTTGTACTTTGTTCATCGGCACCTCTGAAATAAACGTTTTACATGTGTACATTTATTTAACATTTCCATACATTTAAGCTATTAATAAATAACACTACACTAATATTTGAATTTGGCTTGCCTCTACACTTACATACATGCACACATATTGTTTGCTGTACCCATTTTTCAACCTATTAACTTAGATTTGTGTATAAAAAATGATAGTCATCGTCTAATATACTTTATTAGCCAATATAAAGAAACTATAATATCAATGAATAGTAGTCGTTGAATACAATAAAACGAAGGTTAAGGGCAAAAAAATGCTTACGATAAAAAATGGTAATTGCTTACTTTTTTTCTCATTCGGTGGTGGATTTTCCGGCGTTTTAGCAGTAGCACTTTTGCTTGATGACCGTGACAGGCTAGTTTTCAAACTGTTACTTGACTTCTCCTTCATGGGAAGTTTGCTTGGAATCTTCTTATTGGGTGAAGCGGGAGATCCATTGACATCCTAGAAATATTGATTTGTATTAGTATCTTGTTTTATCGTAGAAAAATAAATTTACAAACTTTGATAAAGATTCGTACATTGCCTTGCGTAGATTCATCGACGCCGCTATCGTTGTCACCATCTAAAGAACATACAAAAAGTCATGTAAACACACGTATGATTTGTATGACACGTATAATTAAGAGAATAAAATTATAGTTGTAATACAAGTTATGAAATCGTTTGGCTCATTTTAATATTATATTCGCGTTATATTTTGTATATTTAGTTACCTTTTGGTCGGGATTTTGGCGCAGATGCTGTTTTACGAGGTGTTTTCTTTACGTCTGCAGAACCAATTGGTGAAGTTAAATCGTTTGGTTTTTTCGGTACTTGCTGTGGTGGCTTAGCATCTGGTAAAGGAGATTTTGAAGGCGTCTTGTTTATTGGGGTTACTGGCTTTGTTTCTTTACTACTATCTGTCTTTGGATCTAACTTTGGTTCAGCTTTAGGAGTTTTTGGACGAGCAGGTTCTGGGGTAATGCTTTGAGACTTTATAGGGACTGATGGGCTCATTGATGGTTTTTGTTTGGGTTCAGGAGAATCATCACTACGAGTCAAAGATGGAGAGCGATCAGAAAACTCTTCCTTTGGTTTCGCAGTTTCAGTTACGTTTCGTGAACTCGTCAGGTTATTTTGCAAAATTACATCATCGTCATCGTCAATTTTCTTTTTTGGTGTAGGTAATGCTCCAATAAAAGATTCTGTCATTTTAGATCCAGATAAACGAGATTCAGGGCGTTCAGGAACTTCTTTTCCTCCCTCATTTGAAACTTCTGATCGAAGACTTTCCTTCGATTCCCGTACATTTTCTTTGCTGTCTAGTTTTCCTTCTTGAATCAAACCAAGCCCTGGACTGCGACTTATGAATTCATCTATCCTTCCACCAATGGCACTAACAGACTTGCGTCGATCATCTTCTGTTTTCAATGGGCTTGGGGCTCCGGGGGCTGCAGCAATGCTGTAGCTCCTACCTTTTGCCACCCCCGGCCCTTCAATGCCGTTTTCAGCCTTGGGGACATTAGGGTTTTCACTTGTAATATTTTGGTTGTCCAGGTTGGCTGATTTTGTCTGATAATTATTAGATATATCCAGACCCTTCAGAGAGCCTTGTGATGGTTGTCTCTGGACTCCGAGAACAGGTGGTGCACCGTTTCTTATTGTACCATTCGGTTGCTGTCCAGCAATCTGTGGTCTACCTCCGTCGGGAGTTGTTGCGCCGACAAGTGGCGGCTGCCTCGGGCCGAACTGCAAGTTGTTCGGAGGAGGAGCACGTTGCAGAGGCTGTCCTGTCGGTGACTGAATTGGCCTAGGACCTTGTTGGGGTGCAATGGATTGCGGACCAAAAGGTCGTACTGTGGGTTGAGCAGGCCGAACTTGCTGAGTGCCAGGAGGGCCAGTTGGGGCTGGCGCTGGACCTCTTGCTACTGGTGCACCTACTCTTGGCGCAAACTGTGGAGTTGTAGTCACAGGTCCTCCTGGTTGGAACTGCGGCCTGGGCTGTGACGGAGGTGCCGCAGGTCTTGGAGATTGCGGAGGAAAGGCTGACCGAGAGTCTTGTCTGTTAAGTGGACGAACTGGTGGAGGTGGCTGAGACGAAACTGGCGCTTCTTGACCAGCCAACCCAGAACTTAAGGGGCGAGCCTCCGTTGGCGCCTTTCAAAAATAAATAAATAGATCGATTAACCAGTTTGTACGAATAAACTGTGTGAACTATTTTAAATGCAGGAACATGATGAAACATGAAAGTTTTATGATTAAGATTTTAATTTAGATAACGAACAAAGAACTACATTTACATTTTCTTAAATAAATTCTTCATTAGGAAACTTTTACATGTAATCAAACTACTTATTCTTCTTATCGCGGTGGTGTATACTTTGGTTAATCACGAAACAAAAAATTGTTTACATGGCGCAGACACGATCGATGAATAGTTACCATAGAAACTATTATTTATAATGTCAATATTGCAAACACTCAATATTTTGCGAGACTGGGTAACATCAGACAACGTGGAGTGATTGAATTTGGTATCTGTCGGGTGCGGGGCGGAGACAGAGGCGCTGTCCCCAGCTCCCCACTCGACCGGAATCACTACAAACTAGCAATAGAATTACAGAAAGAAAAAAATCTGTAAAATAAGAGAACAAAAGACATTCGTGTCTGTCAACCTACGAAAACAGTAGTTAAGTTAGACTTTTGAAAACAACTATTTTTTGTAGCTTGAATTAAAGAAACTTAAACGTGCTGTCAGGTCTAGACATTTATCTAACGATTTCAACCAATTATCGAAGATAAGCTGTGTTTGCCTAAATTACGTATGATGTATATTAAATTAAGAAATGTATTAATAAATCATTTATTTCCGTGTTTTCATCCGTTCGTGGATCCAGTGCAACCGCGTGAGCGAAACGAGCATCGCCCGATAGATACAAGTTGTCACGAACTCGGCTACTGGGTCAACGAGCTATTGCCGAGCAAGATATATACCAGCACGTCCTCTGAACCAGTTTGTTAAAATAGTTTGATGAAAAACTTCGCCAAATCCTTTTGCTACTACGAAAGGAATTTTCTGTCTGAAATTCAGGCACGCAATAATTTCGCGTCGTCAATAAACATGAGTCAATGACAAACGGATTATTTTGTGGAAATTCCTAGTTAATGGGTTGTTTACGAAATAATTTTAATCCAGAATGTAGATGTTTTAGTTGCCAAATTATTATTCATAGGTATAAATGTATACAGTCGATTCGTAGACAAGTGTAGCGTGTGCTACGACAATGTCTACGAGCTAGCACCGAGCAATGCACTCTCTATACAAACATTTTACTGAACTAGATTTAACTGCTGTAAACGACATCCAATGAACTCATTTAAGCATTTGAAAAAAATCTATATATAAATACTTGTTTTTGGACTATGACAGTGACGTCGGAAGTAGAGCGTCAAAATCACATATATGTACAATGGCGCACAATGTATAATACCTATCGATGTAAATCAAAGTTCACTTTCGTTAGCATTTGTGACGCATTAACATCATACAGATGTTCTTTTATAATTAACAATGTGACGTGAAACTGACGTGTCATTTCTCATGGTTTTTTTTTCTGCATTACTAAATTTATTATAAACAAGTTTGTCACAAACCGGTACTCTAAAACAAAAATGTACATATGTGTGATGTAAATAAACAAGACCTTAGCAATCATCCTTTCTTAGAATCTACATCCATAAATTGTCTGGAAAAATACAGTTTTATACAAAACTACAAGTTAAAATATGATAAACAGAAACTTCTAAGTGTATGGCAGGAATAATTTTATTAAAACTTTTAAATTTATTTTAAATATTCGAAGCCTCGCAAACGAAGACAAGATAAGACAATCGTCAGTAAAAGGCATGACTTCTAAATTGACTTTGGACGTTGAACGCATAGCAAAACAGTGCCTGTTAATAGAGCCTATTCCAACTGAAACAGAAATACGACACGCGAAAAACATGTTCTATTGAAACTCATTTAATATGTAGCAAATTGCTGGCAATTTATATTATGCAGATTACCAAAATGAATTTAGAAAGTATGTATGACTAAAACTTTTCTTTTATTGAAAGCGCAGTGATACATCGACCCTTTCTAACGAAAAACCTTCAAGTCACTTCCACATAGGTGAATACATAAATGCAGACTAGCATAGTTAAAAAATGCATCGCCATAAATATGTCTGTGATTGTCTGTGAAAAAAGGTAGACGTTCTTGATCGCGTGATTTCGCTATAATATTTTATAGCTCTCGTCAACGAATTCTCTCAAATTTACATGAAAAGACTGTAAAATTTCGCGAATACTATGGTTGACTTTAGCATAACATTGCATGGCGTACCTCCGCTGATTTATATTCATAAACACTTATTCTGTAATCTGTTTCTTGGAAATTACGTTGATGTTCACGCAGAACAGGCAGCTAACTTTGCAATTCTTATAAAAAGTTACAAAAGTTTGGCAAGTCGAAACGAATTCAATCTATTCATTATGTTTTAGTGGCGTAGTGTTCAATGCCGAAGTTTCCATGAGCTAGTCATTTTTGGCCAAGCTAATAGTTCTATCGTTTCGTTTAGGTAATCACGAAAGTCCGTGATTCGATGTTTTACCTAATAAGCCAAAACGGCCCTTGTACTTTTATTGGTAGACTTGAATTTGGAAGTTTCACGGTCGTACTTTTTGCAACGTTTTTGGATGCAAACATGACGTAAAACGAGTGAATTAACAGTTTATTAATTACAAAGCAATCTCGAACTTTGTAATGTAGCCGGAACACCAATTCATGTTTTATTTACTCGAGTCATTTGATGGTTACATGAAGTGCATTAGTGCAGGATACATAGTTCGGTGCTCTCGTGGAACCACGAGGCTTACCCGGTTAGCGTCCATGCTGCTTAGCGACTAGTACAAAGGTAAAGTTAACAATCTTCAAACTTTGACAGTCTCTATGTCATATTTCTTCGCTCGACGAGGCGATCGCGATTTTGCGATGTCTCCTTGAAACTATAAAAGATAATAAACATTTTATTAGGCTTGAAGCCTTCACGCACAACTACCTGATGCTATAAAGGTGCCGTGGTGCTTGGTGACGCATTAAACGGTGGATACTACACAATTATATTCAAGTGTTGGTGACGAGTGACGACTAAACTCTGATACGCCAGTGGCTTATGTAAGATTATTCGTATCGTGGTGACTCACTACTTTGCGACTTTATTACGACAGCTTACAGTTCAAAATAGTGCCAAGATACGTGAACGACCGTCAGATCGATTATGGCGTTACGAGTTTATGTACAATCGATAGATAGAAATTCAGCCTCACACACACATGTAGTATATACCTACATAGTTTAGTCGAGGAGAATTTCTTACAACAATCTAAATGTCTCGTTGGTAGAATGACACGTGCCAAGACGCTTGCCAACTAATAAATTATTACTACTAGCCAAGTAGGTACTAACGAATTATAACATTGTTCAACTTCAAGCGATCGATATTTAGTAATTATTCAGTACAGCATATGTAAAAGGAAATGAAACACAAGTTATTTTAAGCTATTCTTCTATATAAGTATACAAGTCGAAGAACTCGTCATGACTGTGCAACCATTAATCGTAGGGTCATCTAAACTGAGTTGGACAGATTGGACGTAAGAGATACGTCACAGATTCAAGTGACACTTGCCTACATTAAAAGTAGGAATAATTAACCGGTGAGTCATTATGACGCGTTAAATTGAAACAAAAGAGAACTACTTGAGACTCGTCAGGGGCATGTTTTTGTCGTCTAAACATAATGTAAAATTTATTATACAAGTAACGTTATCACAATAATCCCTTTGTCGCTAGGTATGGCTACTAACTTCAGTGTCTAAAAAGTTGTCCGGTGCCCCTATAACAAGGCTGATGGTATCCTCCAGTGTAGTTTTAAAGCGATAAGCATTCGACATTCCCTAATCATTTTCCTCAAAAACTAAGAGTGTCTTTTATTTTTCCCTCCACAAAAGGGGTGGCTACTAAGGATACCATCCAATTAATTTTGGAGAGAAATGTCACTGTTTGTAAAGACAGATTCTAACTGTCCTGTTTATCAGACAATAGAACGTTAGGCTTATTTATTGTTTGTTTTTTTTTTTGTTTGTAAATTATAACAAACAATTTTAACATTACTTTCAGACAAAACGTGTCACAATTCTGTGTGTATTTAGGAAGGTTAGCAATGGTCATTAATCTACCATTGACCTATTTCTTTTACTCCTAATGACAGTTTCTTATCTTACTGTGTCAAGTGCACGACCAATCCTAATGTTGCATTCAAATGACGTTCCATTTGTAAAGATGGCTGACGAAGCGTTGAATCAGTTTTCTTGGACCACTTTAAGTCAGGAAGTACTTCAAACTTAAACCCATTTCCGGGTATTTTTATTATGTTTATGATTCATCATAATACTTTTAATTATGATTTTCTTTAAACTATTTTTAATTCTAATAGTGAAATAATCCGAGTAGGATTATTTATATTTGTTCATGGAATTTCCTAGTTATTCAGGATAATTTGATTTAAATATACTATATACTCGGGTTTTCAATAATAAATCTTTTGGTTTTCTATTCTATTTTAGTATTATTTACGTAGGTATACTCAGTTGGGAAATTCTTACATCGAGTACGAGTATAATTTGTTATAATAAAATGTATGACGTACGTTTTAAAACAATGAAGAAATGGCATCTGTTGAGAATATTTTACTTGTACACTATTATTTGTTTATGGACCAATCATACGTGCATCGTATGAATACCGTGCTAATTATATCGATGACTTTTACTGGAATAAAGTGATCATTGTAAAATTCCACAGAATAAATTTGTAAGAACATTTTCTGGAACACAATGTATTATAAATTTCTCTGCGACACATATAAACTAGCAAATGTACTATTTAATAACTGGGTCCGGCGTCAAACACTAAATCTTGGGGAGTCTATTAATAAATCGTAAATAAACGTTGTTATTCTTATAATAAACCAAGTCCAGTTATTTTGGACATTTCCATCGAAGTCTTGACGTCATTAATGTCGATCAAAGTCGATATGATTTTCGCACATTTGCTTAAGGAACTGACAAGCGATAGATAAGTACTTACGTAGGTACCTATGTATGTAGGTTTAAATTACTGGAATTGATATCAAACAAACTATAAATATCACTGAATTATTATGTGCTAAAATGCAAACAATGATGATTATTTATAAAAAATAAAAAACCCATGTTTTATATTCGATAAAATTTTGTATTTTATAATATTATAAATGCAAAAGTAACTCTGTCTGTCTTTTCTACACGCCCTAACTACTGAACCGATTTCTGAGAAATTTAGTAGTTTGGAACTCTACAAAGGACATAAGATAGTTTTTAAACCAAAAATCTACGGGATGTCACTATTCCACGCGAACGGAATCGCTGGCAAAAGCTAGTACAATCTAAAGTCTTAATAAAAATATTGTTTCATAATTTACTTGTCAGAAATGTATGCACTTTCAATACTTAGTAGATCAAAGACGACTGATGTGATCTAGAAGCTTGCTAGTGAGTGACTACTAAATATATACCTAAGTGATTTTCTATTTATTTATTTTGGACCAATTTTAACGTAACGCAATATGATCTATATTACATCAAAGATATTTTAAGCGAAATCTAAGCTCTTGTTTACTTTGCTATTTACAAATAGTATACCTAATAATAATTACTAAGTCACCCCGACATTTGTAAGAACCAATTTCGTAATACAAGTCTTTAAGAATGAAAGAATGTAAAAAGTATTTTCTATAAACAAAAAATATTTTATCATACCACTTCAATCTACGTAACATTTTTACACTTTATACTCATTGCGTTGAAAATAAATGCTGAGTTGTAAAAAATATACAGATATTCGCGCAATATACTGTTCGAGCCAAAAACTCGTAAATAAACTATCTTCGGTATGAGATAGCATCATCACGCCACGATGCGGACACGTGGCCAGGCGGTGGAAATGAAGTGATCGAATACATTCAGTTTTGTAAGAGTAACTAACCATGGAGTTTTTACAGTTGTTCGCCAAATGTTGTGTGCCGTCTTGTGAGTAAGGTTACCGGAGATCCAATCTTCCCCCTTCCCCATCCCCCATCCCTTAGCCTCAAGTCGACAATTCTTAAATAGGTTTTATAATCCCTAAAGGGTCAGCGACGTACTGGTGTTGCAGGACTTCATGGTTAGCGGCGATTGTTTACCAAGAGGTAATACACGGATAACCTGATGATACGCAATCAGTGCCGACTTTTTGGGGTATTTGAGATTTGGGGATTTTAGGATGTAAGGATTGGGGAGGGAAGATTAGGCCTCCGATAACCTCACTCATACGGCGAAACACAATGTTGTTTCACGCCGTTTTTCTGTGAGGTCGTGGTATTATCACTCCGGTCGAGGCGATCCATTCGCGATTCGTTTACTGATATGATTTGGTTTTAGTTCAATATTTTAAAGATAAAAGTGTATTCATGTCCTAATTTCTAATTGATTTGACTTTGACTTTATACCTTGAAACTGTCAGTCACTCCGTCACTTCGGCACTCCCATGGTAGGTGTCTGGGAGGGCCGACCTTCAAGTGTACTGATGATAATGCTTTCCCATTATTACCCTTTGTTCACTCAATTGGAGTGACCTGACCTTCAAATGACGTAAGTATGTAATAAAAGTACGACTTTATAATACAAACTACTTCTCCATGTTCACTTATGAAATCTTGTTTTAAATTACCTTTTCCACTAAGTATATAAAATTTAAAGGCTAATTAATGACTAGCTAATCTCGCGCGGTTTCACCCGCTGCTCGGCTCCATGTGATCGTATCGTGATGTTTTATAGCCTTTGCACCCAAGAACATTGTAGCTATCTATCAGTGAAAGAATTTTGGCAATTCGACCAGCGGTTTTAAAGATTACCCCCCTAAAACAAACTTACAAATTTTACCTCTATATAATATTAGCGTAGACTTAGGCTTTTAATTTAACCCGGTGTATGGACACCCTGTTGCTGGTAATAGGAGCCGCAGAGATAATATTCTAATATCTCGTCGTGGTGCCTCCACGACGAGATATTAGGCGGCGGTTTTTTTCAGGAGGAAATGACGTTGTTAGTACGCAGGTGGATTGTGTATAATTTCCCTTGATATAAACGAATTTGTTGGGTCTGAGTTTTTGAAAGAACTTTATAGCTCCCAGCTTTACGACCAATCCTTACAAAGTGGAATAGTACCTTTGTAGGTACACATAAAAGGAGGGAAACCCGACTAACGCTAACTGAAATCTTCAGAAACTTTGACTGTAGAAATGATTTTCTTGGAAATTCTTAATGGTAAATCTTCAGCGAGTTGCGAACTTCTCAAACAACTACTTAGTAAGAAGATCAAACAGCTGTTTTTCAAACGAGTCATTATAAAAACCCAAATTAAAGATTCTCCACGAAGATTTCGACTACGAAAAACACTTAATTAAGTTTGAATTACATTACAATATAGCGTACCTAAATAAATTTTAATTAAGACGAAAAAATAACAATTTACTGCTGGCTACTAACAAGGACATAACATTTTTATAAATAGAAAAAAGGCCGGTACAACAATGGAAATGTCACAATATTTAAAGTTAGAATGTAAATGAAATTTTGTGACAATTTCACATCATTGTACCGTATCAAATGAAACGTGAAAAGGACAAAGGGGCCAAGTGACGAAGTGGAAATTAGTCAGTAACACAGTTATTCAAACATTTGCAAGTACCGTATTGTTCCATTTCCCACTATACAAAACCTGATGTACCTACTCTAGATCAGTCTACCGAGAC